ACCGGCGAGGGATTAATGCGCTTGTTTCAATACCACTTTTTCTTTCGCAGCTAGATGCTGAGAGAGTATAGGCGAAATGTCCGTGTGCGGACGGAAGAGCAGGCTATGGCCTGAGTCTCGGCACGTAAATTAGGCACGCATTGAAGGCCTAGAGCTTAATTTCAATGCCTGTTTCGATACTAGCTTCTTTTCATCGGCTTGATGCTGACTAGTAAGTACGAGTTAAGCGAAATTTACGTGGTCGGATGGAATAAAAAAAGAGCAAGGCGCTGCTAACTTCTGAGGCTCGTCATCGTAATAAGGCATTCCATTGAAGCGCGCATTAGCTAAGATTCAAATCGCTGTTTCAATAACAACTTTCTTTCGCCGCTAGTATGCTGAAGAAGGTAGAATTACGAATTTTACGTGTGCGGGACGGATAGTAGCAGGCCTCATGGTCTGAGTCTTTGGCGCATCGTTGAAATAAGGGCACCATTTCAAGCTATTAGGCTAAATTCAAATGCTTGTTTCATTAAGGCAATTTCTTTCGCTTCTAAGATGCTGAAAGGATTATAGCGAAATTTAGCGTGGTTCGGGCGGCAGAGGCGGCTCATGGCTGCGGCCATGCGTCCACGTAAATAAGGCAGCCGTTGAAGCACTATGAGCTTAATTTCATATCTCCTGATTGATAATTCTTTCTTCGCCGCTGATGCTGAGAGGAGTTATAGCGTATCGGAAGGTCTGCCGAGTCTGGCACGTAAAATGCAGGGCATCATGAAACGCATCTGAATGAAAGGCGTAATGAGGGGGCGCCTCACCTGCAGCTCGACGTCCTGGTGTCGGTGAGGATCGAGCTACGATGTTGGGCTTGCGCTGCCTTAGCGAGGCGGCCGTAGGCCGCGTGGTGGTGGTGTGGTGCTTCTTCAGCTTGCCGCTCGCTACCCCTCGGCGCCCCGCGCTGCCTGGGCGCGTGCGCCGGCGGCGGCGGCGCGGCGAGCGGGTCGCGAGGGCGGGGGCGCGCGCGCTGGCGGGCGAAGCGGGTGCGGAGGCCGGGCGGGGGCGGCGGGCGGGCCGTCGCCAAGCGCGGGCGCGCGGCGGCCGCCGCGCGCCGGCGCCAGCAGTCGCGGCGGTCGCGCGGGCAGCACCTAGCAGCAAGCAGGGGCGGGCGCCGGCCGCGCACTCCGCCGCCGCCGCCGCCGGCGACGCGCCCAGGCAGCGCGGGGGCGGAGGGGCGGGGAGCGGCAAGCTGAAGAAGCACCACCAGCACCACCACGCGGCCTCGGCCGCCGGCAAGGAGCGCAAGCCCAACATCGTGCTCATCCTCACCGACGACCAGGACGTCGAGCTGGGTGAGTGCGCTCTTCGCTCAGCTTCAATTCGATTGATTTCAGTGATGCCTGATTTTACGTGGCGAGACACAGGCCATGTGGCCTGCTCTTCCGACCGACCACGTAAATTTCGCTATATTCCTCTCAGCATCTAGCGGCGAAAGAAATTGCCTTTGAAACAAGCGATTTGAATTTAGCTAATAGGCTTGAATGGTGCCTTATTTTACGTGGCAAGACTCAGACCATGAGGCCTGCTCTTCCGTCCGACCACGTAAATTTCGTTATACTCCTCTCAGCATCTAGCGGCGAAAGGAAGTATTATTGAAACAGGCGATTTGAATTTAGCTCATAGGCTTTTTTGAGCTTCATGATCTTTTACATGGAGTAAATCTAGTACATGGGACAGCCGGGTTTACTTCCCCTCCGATGGAAGGCGTACGAAGGATTTTTCGCCCTTATATATCCACGGCGTTGATCTGGATTCATGACGCGAATGTGATAGCCCGATACGCTAAGCGCAACAGGACGCTAAAGTATCGAAATCGGAGTTTTGTTGGTAAACGGGAAAAAAGTATAATCTGCGCACGTTTTCTTGGACTCCAGAATATCTTCCCCTACCTTTTACTATACTTACTGTAGTTGAATGGCGAATAAGAGTATCAACAATGCGTGATGAGTAAAATTTGAAAACTAGAAAGTATGGCTCCTGAATTTTTATTTACATCAGTAAACGAACTACAAATTTTTATTTTATAGTATTGCTAACAAAATAACCAACCCGCATCCCCGGCTCTAATCTGACCTCAACTAGCAAAAGGAGAGATTAACAAAACGTGCGCATAGGGAAGCTACATTCATGTCCACAAGCAAAACAAGGGGTGATCTCAGCATTTGCTCAGTGAATCCAGGGAATGGGATGAGAAACCTATCTGGTCAGTGACAGAGACGTTTTTCAACATTTTTTATTATATACAGCAAATATTAACAATATATTTAATACATTAAAATATCTTTAATTGGAATATAAAATGAAATGTACAATGTAAAGTCAGCTGTGGCTTGTAGTAAGTCACTCGTCGTTACTATACGTGGCTTCTTTACCACAATTATAAAAAAGGTAATTGGCATTAGAGCAGTACCAGAACATAAACGAACTTGTTTGTGAGTCTATATGTGTCAAAGCAGCAAGGGAGATGAAGAGAAGAAATTCTATTGAGACGATATATTTCTTCGCTGTTATCGAGGAGATTTAGGAGTCGATTGTTGGATTGCATTCCTGGCTTTGGTGATGTTTCGAGCTTATTTCTCGGGCTGTTGTCATATCGAGGAATCGGCCTAGAGCAGCATTTGATATAAATAAAGGTGAAGAGTTAGTGATTTTTTACTTTAAAGGACAATGCTAGAAAATCAGATTTATTGAATCACTTGAACCTTGCTGAAAACAGCATTGCAAAATATATTATTCCGCCCGGCAGATGAGATGGAGCTCTGACTGGTAATTCCACGTGTGAAAGTTATTCAACTCCCGTTTGGTGAAAGTCTGGTCCATAAGAAACGAATACTGAATGAGAATTCAGGAACATAAAAGAACGTGCTATTCGAGTAATATGTCAAGCCAACAAAGTGCTTTTTGAGTTTTTGGAACAGCTTCGAATGCAATGTGGAAACTTTCAAATTCAAAGTTGGGGTAAATCTGCCTGCGCTCACAAGTTATATTTTCTGAAGGAATAATTCGTTTAGTGAAAACCATCAGAGATTGATGAAAACATCGGAAATAATCCTTTTTTCTTCAATTCTGCAACATTGTGGGAATAATTTTCAATTTAGAACAAATAGTTCACAATCAATTAGTACTATAACAGAACGGATTCGTGTTGAAATATCTGTTGTTGAATTTTAATAAGAGCCATTTTGGAATTAGATGAAAAATGAAGTTGGAGATTATATAATAATAATAATAATAATAATAATAATAATAATAATAATGATAATGTTAACAGTCTCTCCCGCTCTTAGGTAACAAAAGAAACGTTAATTTTATATACTAATTAATGTTAAAGAAAATTTCATAAAAAAAGAACTTGCAGTTCTCAGAAACGCATACGAATAGCAGCTCTGAACGTTTAAATAGTTTCCTTCTTTAGAACGGTTTCGGTGTATCCTGTTAACCTGATGGCCAAGCTGTGTAACGTGTTGGAAATAGCACTGCAGTTTTCCAGAGCCGCCCGGTGAGCTTTTCCGGCAACGGTGCGTGGTGCGGGTGGGGCAACGCAGACAGCCTGTCTCCTGTTGGGCGCACGCGGCGCCACGTCTGCACTTTGGCCCTTCCCTGGGCGTATTGTGCAGCGTGCGCCCGCCCGCATTGAGGGCGGCTCTTGTAGATTAAAGCGGGAAACAGGCTCGCGCCCTTCGCTGGCCGGGTTTCCCCGGGTGAGGGGGAGGGGGGCGGGCACCTACCTGCGACAGGTAGCGGCGCCGATGCCAGTCACCGCCTTTCGACAGCTGGACGGAGGCTGGGGAGCGCGGCGTGGCGGAGGCGGTGGAGGCCGTGGAGGCGGGGGCAGTTGCGGTGGTTACCGCGGTGGCGGATGCGGAAGTGGTGTCGGTGGCGGAGGCGGCTTTGGCGGAACAGTTGCGGAGGCGGTAGGGGATGGAGGGGTAGTTATGGAGGCCGTGGAGGCGGGGGCAATTTCGATGGC